TTGCACGTTTTTCAAACGAACCGCATTCATCCAGCAATAATGGCGTCCCCCCACTGACCTATGGGCCCCATTAAACGAATTTATTCAAATTGTTTGTTCATTGAGACGACGAACGCAGACAATTATTCGATTTCTACAATAGTACTCGCGTCGAGTATATTTATTTGAAAATTTTTCAAAAGATATTTAATACAAAAACAAAAATAAACGAGGATACAAATATTTTTTTGTTTTCCGAGAAGAAAAAGATTTGCATATGACTTTACTAATTTTATGAATGAAATTGAGGTTAACTCGAATAATGGGAGAATTTGTAACCTTGCTTTTATCGAATTTCGAAGAAAATCATGATTTTTTTTCGTTTCACGCGTTTCTTTTTGTTCGTTGTATGTTTTGTCGAACCGATTACCATATTGGCCGTGACTTTAATTTGTTGGCGCGTGCCCACGGTGCGTACGATCGTTCCTCGAGCCGAGTGCACAAGTTTATTGCCGAACTTACCAGTAGAAAGGTCAGTTCCGTAAAATACGTAGCGTGACTCCGATAGCCTTGTTTTCTCGATTGCCGGCCCACGACGATTGTTTTCCTGCTTTCGAACAGGCGGTACCAGTTTCCAGAATCGTATCCTGGTTAAGAAAAACATTGGGTATACCTTATTAAAATAAAACATTTTATTTCTTCAAGTTTGTTCGAATTCACAATTTTATCCGTATTCGTAATTTAGTTAACATCGACGTACGACGGAAAATTCTATTTTCGTTAAAGTTGACAACAACATTCTTCGTCGTATTTGTTTCTGGTATTCTTTGTTTCTCCCACGGTGCCGCTAACGTCGATTATATAATTAATTTACAAGACGCAGCGAGCATATTGATTACTCGTCGGGCAAACTGTGCTTCGATCGAAGCAACGCCTTTCGACGAATTTTTTATGCGTATCGACAACTCGAGGGAACCTAGAGTGCCCTTGAAAAGGAAGAATTATTTGCCAAAAGTTATTAAATGCATCAGAGTTGTAAAAATAGTTTAAAAATCTAAATTTATAAGGGGGGAATCGCTTTGATAGAAATTGAGCGTTGACGCGGTAGTATCGACGACCAGGAATAGCGTTTCACCGCAAAAGCGAGCTCGAGGAAGTCGAAGAGAAAATAGTTTGTCGCAATGTCTACGTAAAAATTGCCAATTGGCAATCACAGATTACTGCTTCGCGAAGGCATTGACATGAACGGAGCTGAGATGGCGAAATAACTCCTTTAAGGAAACTAGCCGAGTCGCGTTTTGCACTTCGTTCTCCATTCATCAGCAAATTCATGTAGATGGCGAAATTGATAATTGCTTCCCAACTGCGAATCCAATGGAAATTGATACTGATTATTTGAAGGTTCTTCTGTGGATTTATTTTTGTATTCCAACTGATGGTAAAACAGTAACTCATCTGTTTTTCAATCAATTTTTCTATTTTTAACTTTCATTTTTCTTACGTCCGTGGAGTTAAGAATATTCACTGTACAAATTTTGGAAATTTTTCCAAGTAAATTTGTAAATCGTTACATTATACGTTCTGTGGAATGTTTCATCGAAGTCCCGTAAGCATTCCGAACGTTGTGTGGAATAATAAGAAGTACATACAGTGTTCCCATAACAAAAGACAGTTTTACTGAATTTTAGACAAGCTTAGAAATATATATTTGTAAATTAAAGTGCCCCTCTAAGGTTAGAATTCTATCTTTGATTACTTTAAATTATATGTTCTGTATCTGAAGAAACATGTTGCATATTTTCGTAGAAATATACCTGGGACAAGTCGTAACATAGTCTACACATGTTGAAATTATAATAATTAAGTAATTACAACAGTCTTTTCTCGTGGATGGGGAACGATATAACTGTAATGCCTTACGCCGCATAATTATGCTAATTCTGTATGCTAAGTTACCCGGTGTATGTGCGATCATAATTTGGCCCGAAATTTAAACGTTTGAACTGTCCTGTTATCCAACAGTAAAATTTCGAATATAAAATTTAAACAGCTATTATTCGGTAATCATTATTGTTAATAACGAAGATATCAAAACATTCCAAAAGTTTAACAATTTACAGAGAGTCGCGGAATACGTAGTATCGTTTTATTTTTAGTTCAAAGGAAGTGTTTCGAGTCTGCATAATCTGTTATGCAGTGAGTCAGAAATAAGTTTTACGTTGCGACATTTGACCTTCGTGTTAATGGAAATGGATAGGTCATGCAGGCTCTATTGTCTAGCATATGGCCTAATTTCTATGACGGGACGACTGCAGGCCTGCATCGGTGTCGAAGGTAGCCATTTTGAGTACTTTCTATAAAAGTATACACATTACTGCGGTACAAAAATGGCTATAACTTGGGAACCAGGTCAAATAGGTCATATGTCCATATAAATCTCCATTGTTTTTGTGTTCTCAATTCGATACTAAAATGGGTCTCGTATATTACGACGCCCATTAAATAAAGACAATAGAAAACTAAAACGAAACGTTTCTGGGGAATTATTAATCGATATTGGTTACAATTAGTACAACTTTGATGGAACTTCAGAAAATTTTAAACATTGAGGGAACCAAAGGCTACGCCATTGTACTTTTCTTAAAGTAGAAAAATGCGTTTTGCAGCAGCTTGACGGCGAACAGAACTTGAATGGAGAGGGGAAAAAAGCATTCGTTTGTCGGTCAGAACGTCCTTATCTCGTCAGGGACGGTGAAGAAAATGAACCGTTATTCGGTACGTTTCCGGCGGAAGCGTGGAAGGCGCGAGATAAGTGGCGATGCTGCGACCGAAGCATAACGGGATGACCAGTGCGAACGAAGAAGAAGGAGGGGCCATGGGGGAGGGGGAAGTCAGAGACAGATAGGTGACGAAGAAAAGGAAGAGTCGTGTCGCGACCTTGGGGGTCCGAGTTCCGCATTGCTGAAGCGCAACAGATCTCGCGAATCCGACCGTTGCAACGCGTCAGTTTCCAACTGGCGACGCGACCGGTTGTCTCAGGCCTTTCATGCCGTCCAAATGGGGAGAAAAAGTGTTTCCTTTCGCGGAGTCCGTTCTCGGGGATTGTCACGGGACAAACGCGGAGACAAAGGCGACGCGACGTTAGCAGTCGCAGGTTGTTGGCTGCTAATTGTTTAAGGCAAAATAATTGTTCCGTTTCTGGAAAATCACTGGGGTAACCGTTAGGCAAACGACCCGTGACGCGCAGAAGACACGATGGAAATTACAAAGGTACGGAAACAGTTGGAATCGAATACGTTGGAAGACTATTAGATTTTCTCGACGTCTTTCGAGTGTACTCTTAGTCTCATGCAATTTGTAATACCACACAGTGATATACCTCTCTTCTTGCACTTACAAGGGGCGTGTCAGTACTGATTTTTGTCGATTTTAATGAACCCTTGCAAGCTTATTGCAAATAATGAATATAGGAACCTGACAAATTTGATTAAAATCGGTGAAGATCAGTACTGACATTCTCTTTGTCAAATCAGTAGCTCAGAAACTAAACTTGATCAAACTAAAACTCGCTAGTCAAATAGATATAAAATTAAACACCTGCCAGTCACTTGAATCGAAAGAACGTATCAAGTATCCCTGACGTTGCAAGTACCGAGGCAGTAGGCTCAGCGTTAAAAAGAACAACGAGAGAAGGTCCTCTCGCCTTGACCTTGTCTCGCAGTTCCGCATTGCAAAGGTGATTCCTCTGAAAGGGTCGAGGATCGTTGGCCCTGCGGAACAAGGGTAAGAGAGCCGTCGAAAAGGTTCTGGCCACTCGTCCACCGCTGTTCGACCTTCAACTTGACCGCTCAACGAGCCCGGGCGCCCTTCTCCTTCGTCGACGCAGTGCGCTGTGACCACTCCGGGAATACCCCCCTCGCGCGCGCGCGCGCGTACAATTTTAGATGCGGGGTCCTTGACACCTTCGCTCGAGACAACTGGCAGCCATTGACAGCCTCGAGCGTTGCTCCCCCGTCCATTGATTTGCACCGCTCGTCCGGCGGCTGGTCGGTGCCTGGCAACTACGCGCTAGCGTGGACGAGATGAAACCTTTCTAATGGCTCGAAGGTATGTTGCTCGATCGGGAATTGATGCTTCTTTGGCGCATTTCTGGGCCACGAGCTGGGGAGAAAAACTACAGACGAAAGAAGACGATTCTGACTTGGTCATAGCGTTGCAACTATGAACAGAGACTCTGAGCTGGTGGAAGATTGAGAAATGAGCACGATTACTCGACAGTGTTGTGTTGTGAGTGATGTGCTCTATCCCTGGCTCCACTAGTGTTAGGGGGTTATTGTTCTTGAAATAACTAGCCCTTTCGTCCTTATTCAGTAGGTTGATAACTCCTTTACTCATAGTTCCCTTATGTCGTCACTCCATACTAAGGGATTTGGATCTAGAATTACTACTCCGTATCATCGAGGAAGGATCCCACCTTAACTCCAACTACCATTGCATGTGAGAACCTTTCCTCCTGGGTCTATATTCAGGACTAGCGTCTCAAACGCTGATGTCCAAAGCCATCTTCGTCAAATAGGTCACAAAGATTCATTTCACGCCACTCTTGGGCTCTGTCGCCACAGGCTAAAGCTTGATACCAATGGGATCAACGCATTATGGTCGTACAGGAGTGCCCAGGCCCTGGGGTCTATGAACTTCTCGGATCTAAGGTCAGGAACGTGTTCTGCTCCCCGGTGTACCGCTGCCAGGGTTTTTCGAACTCGCAACAACTAGTCTCCTCTTCATTCAGTTATAAAGGAGTACTCTGGGGTCCTTCTTAGAGAGTCTAGGACAATTTCCCGAGGGACGTGACCCTTACGGTTACTCGACAGTGTCCACATTCCCCTTGCTCACGGCACTACGTGTCCCCTTAAACCGGAACTGGTATTTACAATTCCTTGGAATGGAGGAACTTGTCGCCACGGAGTCTGACTTGGGGACTTGTAACTCAAGGACTAATAAGAGGACATTTTTGTTCACAGGCACTCGGGCAAGATGTTTTAATGGGGACCAAGGAGGAGGAATGGGGCAACGTACTCTGTGTGCGAGACAAATCCTCGCTGGGTGTGGTGCTGAGGGATCGTCTGATGACGGACGCGGCTCTCGGAGGACCTCGACCGATAAAATCGGAACACAGTTACAGTCTTCTCACGTCCAGCCCTCCACCGAGTCCGGCGACACCCGGCGCCAACCCCCACACGCCTAATTCTGGATCGTCCGCCGACACAGTTGGCACATCCCTTTCTAATAACAGTTCCTCCATCAACTCCAACAACATGGATCACCATAAATCGTTGGATATTCGCAGTAGAATCGACGGTAAGAGAAATACATTGCTGATGGTGGATAGCTTTTATTCGGAGATCTTTGACACCTCGCGTAATGGAGTAGTATAGTATTATAGGATACAAGGGGGCACGATAAATTTTCTTCTAATTTTATACAATAAATAGCGATATTATTCCTGCTAGTAATGTCTGATTTACGTGACGCGCGGACGTCGTCGATCCATTAAATACCGAAGACGACACCTTTCTGTCCACGCTATACTTTACACTCGGATTTGCGATGCAATTAATGCCACGACAAATGCAAAACAAATGCATGTACTGTATTTGCTTCGACGATAAATGTGTAGTACAGAAATAACAAAAAATATTTAAAGACCCTAAGTGTGCAAAAAGACAATACTCGAATGCAAAACGTTAAGGTTACATTAAGAATTCTATCACAACCCCATAGACTGGATTTACGTAATATCTGGAACCGGTTTCTAGACTCAGAAATTGAAAACGACGAACATGCACGGGGACCCATGATGGAGGACACTCGGTGAACGAAACGGGTATCTTTGATTGCAGACATGGAAGAGGAGTGTTTCCCGGCAATTTCGATGAATACCGCCTCGGGACGCGGTGGATTGTCGTCGTCGCCGTCGTCGTCCCTATCGCCGTCGTCTACCTCAACCATTATTCTAAAGAGAACCAACGACCTAGTACCTGAAGATATGGAATGCGCCGAGATCAAAGGCGAACCGCTCAGCGCGCCCAGTAGTCCCTCGGAATCCTGTCAAACGACGATAGTCGACGACAAGAGCACGATAACCATGGTGTTCCCTCAGAGCCTTCATTTCTCTAAGAATCACCTGTCGCAGACCAGCGACAGCGAGGAGGACGACGAGGAATATTACCAGGTAGCTTTCGTTAGGCTCTGTTTTATTTCCTCTTAATCAAAACTCCGATTCCTCTCAGTGATGATAGCATCCAAACTCGAGCCATTGAAAATTCTTTGCCGTTGTATTGAACCCCGTTGAAATTTCCCTGTTCGAAGAGTATGGAGGTGGAGGAGTATAACAGAGTGGCCTGCGTCGGGAAGGAGACGAATTCGCGTACATCGAGGCAAGGTTTACCGCCAACGCCACCCAGCAGCGCGAGCTCCGACAGCGAGGGCACTGCTTCCGCTTCCTGCTCGCCAGAACGTCGAGATTCCCAGAGCTCCACGCACGCACAGAATCTCAGAGGCCTGCTGACGCCCAGGCTGTACGTGACGAACGGCACGCACACCACCAGACAGCCGATCCACACGCCCTTGATTTCCTGCCAACCGGTGAGCACATCGCGGATAGAAGTCGACACGTAGCCCCGCATAGCTTCTAGCGTAACATTACGCGAAATCGATTTTGCAGAAGGGATCGACCGGAGTTCTCACGCTGACCGAGGAGGAGAAGAGGACTCTGATTGCCGAGGGGTATCCCGTGCCCACGAAACTGCCGCTGACCAAGCAGGAGGAGAAGTCGTTGAAGAAGGTCCGCAGGAAAATTAAGAACAAGGTGAGTCTAGGGTGTTTAATGTTTCTGGTGATTGTCAGTCTTTTTGTTTTATCGTAGCATGCCTTTATAAGCTCTATAACCTAACCAACTGTTTTGTTGCTTGATCCAATTGCATTCTAACATGGCCTCCCTGTGGACATCGGGTGTAACTGAATGTGAATATATGTATAGTGTTGACTAGAAGTAAGTGCATTTCAAGTGAATGTCTGTTTAGCCTAAAGGTATCCTCATTTGGGATCCCAAGTGTAAGTGAATGTGAACGTTTGTTTAGGCTTGTCAAGGCCTAAACTGTGCGTGATATATCTTACATGTGGACGTCAAGTGTTATCGAATATGAATGTGACTGTTAGCTATACCTCGATATGTAGCGGTATCTTTGGATCCCCAGTGCAATTGGATGTGTATGCTTGTCTAGACTAGCTCAGACCTAACATTTACCCCCCATATGAATACTGCTGAGAATATGAGTAGATGACTAGCCTATACCTAATCCATACCTATCTCAACATACAGGAGTATCCTCATATTGTACTCTCAAGTGAAATCGAATTAGAACGCCTGCCTACCCTAATCCGCAACACCGTTCCAGCATGCAAGCATACCCTGTGTTTGGCTTCTAAGCGTTATCGGATGCGAGCAATATGCTTGAAGAAACGAAGACCACGCAGGTCATACCTTGACTCGCGTTTCAGATATCCGCGCAAGAGTCGCGGCGAAAGAAAAAGGAGTACATGGACGGGTTGGAGAGACGGGTCACCCTCCTGACGAATGAGAATTCCTCGTACAGGGACAGACTGACCGTACTGGAGGATCGGAATCGCGAGCTATTGAAGGAGCTACAACAATTGCAAACGATGCTGCAACTGCAGAACTCCTAGATCTTAATTCCGTGCGATCGAATGTTTTCGTACGAATCGAAGACTTCGCAATCCAAGACTACGGGAAAGACGCCTGGTCGTTCCGGGGGTTCACCAGTTTCGCGATCGACGCGAAGACCAGGGAACGGTTTCCCGACAGAGTCTGTTAACAGTGTTGCCCGATCGTTGAACAGTCCTTTCTCGTTTCCCTCAGTGCAATCCGTCTGGCAGGTGCTCGAAAGAAAGTCGTCGATTCTTCGTCGAGCCTCGTTCAATTTTTTTTCTTCTTTTTCTCTAAGTCAGAAACGAAAGTTAGAAGGGTAGCCTGATTCCAGGGAACTCGTGCAATTCCTTTACATTCCTGTGAAGTCTTCCTTGCGTAGAGGCGGATCGAGTAAGTATTTTTGAGCAAGACCGCTGTTTAACGACCAATTTTACCTAAGATTAGACGCGGATTCGTTGGGCCGTGTCGTCTTCCCCGTTCCGCTGCAACGAAATCGAAGAAGTTCGATGGAATTTAGCCGGGAGTGCCTTCATTCGCTTGTTTTGATGTACCTTCCTTCAAGCGGCGACTAGGGGAATGTTAGATTCTTTTTTCTTTTTTTTTTGACACATTTTGTTACGGCGCGCAGCTTGCCGTGAATTTAGAAAACTGCAAAATTGCTTCTTAAAAGTACAAGACCCTCACCCGATCTGCAATTGGGACGGAATCAATTCCACTTCCCCACGTTCACGACACGCCCACTGGTGTGGGGGAAAGCTCGGTGGATTTAGTCGCGATCGGAATTTCTATCGTATCTGTTCGGATTTGATATTATTGGTTGATCCAAGACGAATTGATCGAAGCAGCTGCAGCCAAAACACACGTGAATATTCGCGGAAATAATTTACACACGAAGTTCGATAAGCGGAATAGATTAATCTGCGACGCACGAAGAGACGTGACGTTTGATTTCGATTAAAATTAGTAAGGAATCTAGTGATAAGCACGAGAGAGTTCATATTAACTAATTAAAGTATTTAATGGTGTTATCGTGCATTTTCCGAGCCGATATTTCGTCCAAAAGTCAGTGTAGTTGCGTGGATGTCCATGGTAGCGTGTAACGACGTGTAAACGTAAAATGTGACGCACGAACTTCGAAACGAAGAGTCGCGTCATCATGTTATATAGAATGAATTTGAAAATCGTACGTGTCTATTTTCACATGAGAGAAATATCGTATGTAGTAATTTACTTGTTAGTTTAGACATAATTCACTTTAAACACAAATTTGTATATTGTATTTTGAAAACAAATGCGCGTCGGAGGGACAGTTCGTTCAAGATTTTTAACGACAATGTGCAATGACGACTACTTCGAACATCTTCCTTTTTTTTTTTAAATAAATGAACGCGCCACAGAACGTAGGAATAAGAGTTTCTAGGATTACGATGGTATAATGAAGGGCGAAGCGTGACTCTTCGTCACAAAATATGTCGGAAATGCGTAATGAAATTTTTTCGAACGAGCCTTCGTTTTTGCTAAAAACGAGTTTAAATACTGCTGCGTGCGATAAGTGGTGCTAGTACGCGCGACAATCACTGAGGCGCTTGCATCGCCCGCACGATGCAACAGTATTCGAAGTCAAATTTCTCGAAAACTAAACGTCGTAGGAAAAAAATTCATCGGCCATTTTCGACTGATTTTTGGACAAAGAATCGTTTTCTGCTCTTTTGTGCCGCCAATATGGCCACGGTCTGTTCTACGCTGGAGTTTGTCGGCCCCAGCGAACGAACGATCGTCTTCTTACCTTCTCGTGGCTCGTAGGTACAAATATCATCGATTACCGTCACAATTAGAGTTAAAAGCATCGACGTATATATTGACAGCAACGCCAATGCTGCCATTAGATAGTTGAAATCGTTGAAAGTGTCTTCACCGCGTGAATTTTACTGTTGGGTCGTATTTTACGATAAGAAGTGTTTTAACGAACGCAAAACGTTTCGAACCGATACGACGGGGTAACATAACTGCGAATTTTAACGCGCTCGTGTCGATCGAGATAGAAATATAGCGAGGCTTTGTAGTAAAAAATATTCTACAACAACCTGAAAGCAATTCAGGTTTAATAATTTTTACAAACATTTCTCGAATCTTCTTTTATAAAATCTATATGTTAAAAGGACCAGTGGAATTTGAAAATGAATTAAAACTTGCAGGTTAAGGGGACCTCGAGGACCCACATTGACATTTAAGTTTTTTTTAAAAGTCAAAGAGTGTAGTGACATTTTATTCGCGAGGATAATAGATCGGGAGAGTCTATACTAATTTATATTGTCACGTGATCGATACGGCGCGCGTTGAAGTCGTACAGAAACGGTAAAATTTTGCGAGAATCGCAGGGACCATAGGCGCGAATGGTATTTTTTTCTCGCACGATGGCGTCACGAATCGGTCACGTGACGCGCGGAAAACTTTCCTTCCGGAATTGATGGACGATCCCGCGGCGGCTGGAAGCGTTTGCAATTGAATTTCCGCGCGCAGTTCAATCGAGTTATCGAGTTTATCGGCGAGCGCCGTGCACAGGGTCAATAAAGGTGCGAACCAGCACTAGCTAATCTGGAACTTGAAACGGTTTGCGAGTTGAAGTGTGAAACAGTTTGGACGAAGAGCGTAGACTGATTCTCGTCGACGATCGATCGACTCGAAAAATAATTCATGTTTTAGACATTTATTTAACCGTAACAAAAGCGTAGAGGGATGCATATGGACGAAGATGGTTTTTGTTTCAAATCGATACGATAATTCGTTCCCGAGATATGGCGGTTTAAAGGAATTCAAAAGGAACGAATGGATGGTGCAAAAATTGATGTCACACTGTGTTCTTAGCGGGAGAGAAAAAAATGCACGCCCGTGGGCACCGTATTGGCGCAGCAGAAGAAGAAGACGCGCAAAAAATGCTCGCTCGTGCGTCCTGCAATTACTTTTGCTTCTACCGAGCACACACGTTCGAAGAATGTGTGCAACACGCGTTTAAAGCGAAGCTACTCGAGTGCCTGGCTGGGCTCCGCTTTGAAGAGGATATTTTCTTCCACGCATTTGCGTCAGAGGAAATTTTAAATAACGAATGAAAGATAAGCCATCGTTCATTCTCAGATAGGAATAAACGTTTGAGTTACAAAGAGTGAACTGTTACGAGCCGTTTTCTCGGGAACCATTGGCGATGTCAGAATTAAATTGCTTTTATTATAAAATTTTTATTTTTAATGCATCAATGGATGCAGATTTTAATTTCCTATAAAAAACTGTTAAGCTATTCACATCGAAAAGTCATTAGTTTAGAAGATATTTTAATCTCAATATCGTAGAGTGCCCTCGAACCTGGGTGGCGCTTTACAGTACTCAGTTTAAAATATCTCCTAAACTAATGAATTTCGTCGCGAATAGCTTAACACTTTTTCGTAAGAAATTAAAATCTGCATTCATTGGCGCATTAAAAATTATATGATTTCATTTAAAAAAAATATGTCACCTTTGTGTGAACTTTTCTAAATTCATCGCTGATTAAGGCCACAGAGAATTTGATCCGCCGCGTTGAAGCATTTTCCCCGCGTTCGTATAATTTCAACCAATACGCTGATCCCGGAAATCCGTTCTAAGTCGACTTCGTCCAAACTACTTTCCGCGCAACAAACATTTGTACGAAGAAGCCTCGTACCTTCGTCGTTAGATAAGAATCGTTCGCGTATGCCTGGCCGCGAAAAGGGATCGTGTTTTGTGTACAAAATGCCAATTTACGCAAGTTTACCGAGAACAGAGAGAGTTTAATATATTCTATAAATAAAGCTTTATATAAATGGTTATATATATATACACTATATATATGTATACATAAGATGTTTCTATATAAACAGATAATATATGTATACACTGGAGAAGCGTACCACATACACATACACGCTCGACACGATGAGAGAAAGTTTGATGCGTGCGTGTGCGTCCACGGAACCGTGTGTTGTTTCATCGCGGTTGATTATTCGTTATCGCGAAAAATGATCATTCGTGACCCGTTCACTGCATATGTATTGCATGTATAATTGTTCCCGCGGTGACTTTTATGTGCATCGGTATACGTGTTTGTAGTTGCGACGGTTCGTCCTATTATCTGTACGCGAAGGTGTCCTACGCCATTGGACAACGTGCTGAAGCCACGTGGTCGGCCACGCATGTGCTTCGACTTCAAACGTTTGTACGACGAGGAATAAACACACGTGACTTTGACGTTTTCTAATTCTTTTCACTATCCTCCGCAGCTCCGCGCCTCGAAATAATTTTACATTATTAGAAACGTTACGAAAGCATACGTGTGTAAGAAAACCCGAAATATTAACCAGAAAGGGGTTATTCCCCTACTAGTAGCGCCACCAACGAAGAAACGACGAGACACAACTACTATTCTTACGCTAAAGCTGGCAGTAGTTGTGCTTTTCTTTTTTGGTCCTTGCACACTTGATAAAAGAACAGAAAATTTATTTCTTCTCATTTTTTATTTTATAAATTAATGAGTACAATTTTGGCTACTAAAATTAGTTGACAATAATTGGCTTATTTCAGTACGGTGCACAATCCGTTAAGAAGATTTGCGAGGTGTTATTTAATTGGAAACAGGTGGTTTCGTAGAAAGTGCGTTTAGTCCGAGGTTACTGGAGTATTATTAAATAACATCTTTCGAATCCTCTTATAATATTACGTACCGTATCTAAATAAACCAATTATTATTTACCAATAACCTTTTTTATGTTTAGAAGTTCTCGAAGTATTCAGGGTCATGCATCGTGAAGTAAAATAAACAACTTACGTCACTATACGTTACGTCGCTTACGACACTAAACTATGTATAGCGGTATAGCGTGATGGAATTTTTTCTGTCGACTATTAGGTAATATTTGTCATTATCAGGCAAGAAAGACATTTAATTGGAGTTTAATAGATTTTTTATTTTAATATGTTTTGAATATTTGAGACATTCGGTACGTCTTCTAGCGACACTCTTTCGAATTTACATTATTTCTGAAACGACTCGATGGACTGTGGCAATGTTGGCTCTGAAATAAATTGCTCTTAAAGTTCAAACGATGACTGGAAAATGGGAGCCCATGGTAACCATTTAATGGGTTCCCCGAGTAATTAAAGCGTGAATCGTCGAGGAATTTCGCGTAAAAAGACATAGCTCGAACAGAAGAAAAGATAGAAACAAGACAATATCGCAATTTAACAAAAAAAAAATTAATCTAAAACCTCGTACAAAGAGAAGCCAAAATTGTTGGGTTGTTTTTAGAGGTCCACCATTCATAAAAAAAAATATAAGTGGGAAACGTATTTCACAGAATGGAAAAATAGAAATATTTGTGATATTTTATTGATCGATGTCCATTTCTATTTCCTCCATGCTGTCTTCCACCCTGTTCTTAAGGGTGGCCAAACTCAACGGCGCCTCCATGTCCAAAGTTTCCTTCTCATCTTTGCGTCTCTTTTTCGATCTGTACAGAGGGTTCTCGAATCTTCCACCGGAGGGTACCTTGGCCACAGTACCGTCCTTTCCAAGCTTTTGTTCGCTGCTGCCGGCCACGTCAGCAATTTGAACGTTGCCCTCGGAAATATTCTCGAAACGGGCGAAACTAAACGGTTTGCTGCCTTCTGGCTTGTCCGTGCGAATTCCATCCCGAACCGACGTGAAAATCTCTGCACAGCTCGAAAGAATGCTGGAAAATTAAAATTTGCGTGAAAATTTTTTAGAACCGAGTATTAACAATTTAATATTTATATTTAGAGACTCGTAGTGACAACCAGATATTTAAGATCGCTATATAATTTAATAAACAAACGCGATTTATCAGTCATCCATTTTTTGTGGATCATCAAAGAAGGTGGAGACATTCAATAAATTGTTGTTAACATCTTTGTGACGTAAACTCGAATTTTATCGCAAAATATCTTTCGACAAAAATCGCGTCGCCAATTTCACTCCCAGTTGCTGCGAGAAATAAACCGTTCGACTTGATTGGCCGGGTCGAGTTAATTAAACGTTACGAGCCAGCGAAAGGGTTGCAGAGAAACGCGTCGACGAAGAAATTGCCAAGTTTAAAACGATAAATTGTAAACGGGGCCGAGTTCGCTGAATGCCAGGCCGTTGCCACTGGTGTTTGGCGAACTGAAATATTTTCTGCGCCTCTTATACGCTATTTTCATTATACATTACAGTTCTGATTATCCGGCTTTCGGTTATTTAAAAAAATCGACAGTATAGGTGGAGAAATTTTTCGGCGAAAAACAAAATTACCAGATCGTTCTAAAAAAATTATTTTTAACTGCAGGGGTCAATTACAATCAGTTTCGGTGAATAGGTATAGCCCGAATTCCTAACCACTTCCGAGAAAAAAATTCGAGTAGATGTGAAATTAAAAAATTTTAAATCATTTTAAAAAAATTATTTTTAGTTGCAGGTGTCAGTTGCAATCATTTTTGGTCAATAGACATATCCCCGAAATCCTACGCGCTTTCGAGAAAAAAATTCATTACTGAAAATATAATGTGTGGCCAGAAATGGCAAAAATAAGCCAGAGTATAATTATTTTAGAAATTTAAATGGTAACGAAGGATTCAATACGAATTTGATATTATTTATGGTCACTGTATTTTTTGTTTATTTAAGCCACTTTGGTTTCCATATCCATTTGCATTAAAAATGGCAAATATACGAAAAGGAAACCTCTGGTATGTGGACGGTTTCCAATTCACCAGTGGACTCCCAACAAGGATTCAATAGAAATTCGGTTTACTATGCGTAAACACCAATACACACGCCTTGTGGAATTCGAGACAACCCCTGCCCTTTCTCTGCGAAACACGCCCCCACTCGACGCGTGCCATTTCATTATTCGATTTCACGAAAGTTAACACGAACTTCTTCGGTACGCCTACACCATTTTGACGCCCAAACTGTTAACGAATAGTATCTAGTAACTGGAACACGACAAAACTTTATTTACAATGCGGTTAGAAAATTTTGCACCGTTTAATAAGTTCTATCGATGCTGCTCGAAAGTTTCTTTCAAGTTGTAAAGTTCAATTACATTTCTCTTGAAAACGTAATTTACCGATTTTTTAAAGAAGCAATATTTAGTAATCGCAAAAGTCATTTGCAGAAGATTGAAAGGGGAGAAGAGAGTCTTGAAAAAAAGCGTAGCTGGCGAAAGATTAAGGGCAAACACGACCCAACCACGCACGAGTGTCCACTAGAAAAAAGTCCAATCGATAAATTCGATAAAAAGTTAATACGATAACGTGACCTTCGTATAGAAAACAAGTCAAATCGAAAAAATTATGGGTGAAATGTTCCGGAAAAGTTGCGATGAAGTTTTTCATAAGCCACGTCCTCTCGGATCCTTGTATTCGACCGACACGTGGATGTCGATGCAACGGGTGGAAACGGAAATAGAGACCAGGCGAAGAGAACGCAATGGGGGAAAAAAGTAATTACACGGAATATGAAACACGAGGCGCAGTTTGCAAGTGGTTGCTCCTCGTGAGCTCCTCCAACCCTTATGTTGCACGCCGGAAGTCTGCGAAATTAACTTCCATCGCGCTGATGTTAGGACGAACGAAATATAAGGGTGGAGCACGTGACAAGTTCCCCTTAAACTCTTACAATACATCTGGTGCACAGTTTTCGTGGCAAAAGTGAATTAGGATTAAACGGATCCATAGATACACGCTTTGGAGTTAATTGACAATGAATTCACTTGAAAGCGGGATAGGTAGCGATTTTTATTGACTTCGATAGAAACCACTACCTACCCCGGTTTCAAGCGAATTAATTGCTCCCCCATTTGTGACTTGAAAACAAAAGTTACTGTACTATTTTCATTTTTTTTTATTATTTTGTTCCGTTACTTGAATCCGAAATAGAGAGCATCGCTTGAAAGCGGGTATTACTGTACACGTCTTGCTTAAGAGGTATATTTGAATTGGAAAAGTTAAATAAAAAAATAATTGAACTTACTATCTGGAAGAGTAGCCAAAGTATAGTAAAGCGAGGAAAAGAAGGAACAGGATGACGAACGGCGTCCCAAACAGTGGCACCAACGTGGCGGGTAGTTGATGATCTTGCAAAGCTGCACCCGATACTTGCGTGCCCAATATGTCTATATTCATACCTGTTTAAAAAACGAAGTGTTATAAATTACCATTGTTCTTTGAAATTATAAATATTCTTTGTCTTAATATTTTAATCGAGGCAACGTTTCGACCTAACTTGGAGGTTCTATTTTGTACCAGTAATCGCCACGCCCATACATCGCTTTGAAGTTACCGGTCACTAAATAGATGTAATACGAGACTCGTGTACTGTTACTCTGTCTCTCTCTCTCACTCTTTGCGTGTTCCACCCACTTTGAAGGAATACACTACCACATCTAATTTATATTATTCCTTAAAATTTAAGAAAAATTCAAAAACCAGAGACTGGTATCGACTGGTTTAATTTTTAAAAGTGAATTCACTCTCGATTCTCTGATCCTTTTTTTCCTGCGTCTATTATTGCATTTTTTCTCCAGAGAAAGTAATAACGCAGTCGAATCTAAAGCTCGCAGTGTCGTTCGAAGCTTTTCTATAAAGAGAACGTTTTTTTCTGATTCAGGGCCTTTGTTGACGGGGCCAACACGGTTTATTGTTCTCCGTTTCCTGGAAAGCACAATAACTTCCGTCATTAGCCTCTTGCTTATTGGAAAAGTGCGTCGTGGTTCGTCGAATCCATAAAAATGTTTCCAAAAGTTTTATTCGTTTTGCAGAGGTACCGATATCACCTTTCGCTTCTCCTTTAAAATTCCCTTTGTCATCGAATTTTACGCGCTAAATAATAGCTATTTGTGTCAAATGTCGAGAGTCAAGTGTCATTTACTTCGTTGTAGATAGACAAAGCTAAATACACTAGCAAACTGTAATTATTTTTTCAAACAAATCGATCGTTTATCATTTTACACAAAGGTTTTAGTCGCAACATGATTCATAAACCTATGCCAATATTTTAGAAATTGAATCTACACACAAAAACAAATCAAAAATGTTATATGAATATGGGTCGTACATGCTATGGTTTCTGGTTTACAGAAGTTTAAAGATGATGTTTGAATTATTCAGGGCGCACTTGCTTGCACGCGCACCGGCTGCAAATCGCGCTCTTTAATCCCTCATAACTCAGAAACTATGATGTTTACGATATTTATTTATAGAATATTTTTTACTCATTTTTGTCTATAGAATCAATCTGTAAAATATTCGCATGCATATGTGAATGGTGTTATAACATAAGGGTGATCTAAAAATAACGAAGCTGCGTCACTCGTAATAGTAAATATTTTCTAGGCATTCCTACGAAGAGGGACCACAATATTGGCAATTTTTATGCAAAGGAGACTCGTATAAACGAGGAATTTTACCTAGCAAATTCTCCTTGATGTTCTTCACCATTTTCAGGATATCGAGTCCGGAATATTCGCCCTTTTCCTTTATCAGAATCTCAGCCGCCCCGTTCCAAGTACGCCTGACATGCCACGCGATTCTTTCTGTGTATCCCTCCAAAGCGCTGATCACCGCTTCTCGAACCACTGACAAATATGCTGTCTTTGACAAAGACAACCGGCCACCGCAGTATCGACAACAATGACCTTCCACCTGAAGTATTTGAGAAATTGCCTATTGAGATACTGCATTCCTTTTTGCAGGAATTAATATACGTTCTTCCTCCATTTTAAAACTCTTTTATTCAGTGACCTTACTTTCAAAGGATATTCACAAGGAGTGAATCCACATTTTGGCCTTTGAATCGCGCAAATTTCCTCCATGTAATCGTTATTCGGATCGTCCTGACAGCGGCATTTTTCGCAACTATAATCTGCATATCTGCATGGAATTTAATTAAAATTATTAAAATTATCTTGAAATTTATTACACAAATTCTCATAAATTGAATAGCACGTTTAGGAAGATATGAAGTGATCTTTAACTCGATTAAACTGTTGCATAATATTCAGATTCAATTTTCTCGAGAACTAAGCCTCGTATGGAAAAAATTTATTCTACATTTTTGACTTATTTTTAAAGGAGGAATCGATTAACTTTAATTTTCACTACGGTTATCATGGCGCATTGCAAGAATTCAATATAGAGTGTATGTTTAATCGTGGACAGAATATTTGCAACGGTCTAACATTTGGAATATTAATGTTTTGATAAATTTCCAATGATCCTACTTGACAGTGAATATTCCTTTGTCGAACTCTCGTCTGTTCGCGAAATCATCCCACTGCCATGCCATATAGGGTGTCCTTCTGTCAGATGTTCTGATCGATCTCACTTGAATCTCCCTCATAGGCAGAAGAGCGCTGAAGGCTCGATTTTTGTCCGGTAGCACGATGTCGTCCTGACGACACGGAACTTGCTCGAGATGGGGAGCAGCTTTCGAGGTCCCGTTCCAATTTTCCGGATCCGCCCAGAAAAGGTGACCCTCCCTCAGCCATCGACTGACTCTTGTCGGCGATTTTCCAGAGTCCCTTAGCTGTTGTCACAAACCAGACGATTCGAAAGTCTCCACAGAAAAGTTAAAAGCTCTCCGTGTTAGGAAAAGTGATTTTTCGAGTAAAACAAATTTCTATTTTGGTACCATTTTACTGAGATCACGTACAGACGTTGATTTAACACTGACAAGTTTTAGGATGGCTGAAGGACGTTAGAATTATCTTTAAAAACAAAAAATTTGATACGTTCTGAACTAATACCAGGGAGAATTTTGATCGAAACTTGGACAAATGGCTGAATTCTATATTTATCGTTTCACAGTGTTACTCGATAAATTTCCCGTCAAGATCATACGTTCAGATTTATACCTCCTCTCTCGATTGCATTTGCACGGAGTAACTGTAATATCAAACAAGTAAATTCTACTCCAATCTTCCATGTAATTTGTCGCGCGTTGCGAAAATCCCTGTGACGCGTCCATATTTTCCGCATTTGTCGTGTGAAAAATTAGAAACTGGACGTTGTCAGTGCGATTCCGGGATAATTTAATACTTCTGTCGAAGAATTACAATACCGAATATGACAACGATACTACGATGTTAAACTTTTTAATAATTTTTAATTCTTCTGTATGTCTATTCTACTTTTGAAATTAAATAACGCGAAATATACTACGATACAAACAGATTCTAACGTTTGCTACGTCATCTTTGTAGTTCAAAGCGCGCAGCTCAAACGTAGTGTAGTTTTATTGCATTTCCAAAATGTCCATGCGCGTTGCATACTTCCGTTATCTGCCTCTACTTTTATAAATATTCTCTGGCAAAAAACGCCACGAGCTTTGAAACAAATTCGCAGTGTGAAAGGAATATCGCGTATGAAAATTGTCGAAATTTTCACTTTTTTTTTACTATTGTCAATACATACCTTCAATTTTCCGTCCCTTGGTAATATCAAAGATCCAAACCTAGCAAGATCGATCCCAGTTAGCCTAAAATCTCCAGATTTCGGCATACCCACGGCGTGCCTAGCCTCCAACGGAAACACCACGTGACTGTCAATTTCCGGTACCTTATTATCCATCCAATTTCTCGCGGTTTGCCATTGCAAGTCCGGAAGCCAAAACTTTTCGACTCCAAAAGTCAGTTTCGCCACTAACGCGAAAAATGTCAAGATTTCGAACCGAATACTACCCTTCATGCTCCCAAAATTGTTGATAAGTTAATAATTGTCCATCCTAAGTACCAAATTACTCGTTAAAAATTTGAAATTCGAATTACTACGAATTTTAGGACATTTTAATCTATCTTGGGAGTTTCGACGCAATTTTACAGAAACGATCGAACGTAAACTGCGGCGAATGATCGAGATTCATAGGGGGCGTGTCCGATCCACTGATAGGCTGCTGCACAGATGCGTTATTTATCAGAATCGTTTCAATTTCAACGATTTTACGGGTCGACGAGAATATCGACTATGTTTTTTCATTCTTGTTTAGTGCGGCTGAAATTTCGGGCCATTGGGGTGTGAATAATTTACGAACGTTTCACTGGAGAACATTTATTCGATAAACTGTTAAACACAAGTTCGAACGATTCCGCAAAGAGACGTACAATATTCGCTGCGACGAAACGCAAAAAAAAATTTCTGCGTTAGGTGACAATCAGGCTTAATGTAAATTGACATTTGATTCATAGAAGGATACTCGTATATCCGTTTGTTCAACAACGCGTTTAATCGAATTTACAACTGCCAAAAATGTTGTTACTTTCGTGTGTGACAAATGTGCACAGCTGGACAAGTTTCAGTCGGGATACAGTTTGAATAGTTTAATCATTAGTTATATTCTTCTAATACTGGTCCATTTCTATTCTCCTCATCTGAAATGTAAATATCAATGCTTCGGTTGTTATCAAAGAAAAATATTCACAAACGATAAAATTGTTTATACAACACCATTATCAATGAAAGTTTCTAGAAGATCAAGATCGAGAACCGAATGCAAATATTTTGTCTAACTGGCGTTCGATCGTGACTTCCAAAATTATTTAAAATTATGCTTGCCCAGATTTGCAACTGTTATTACAAACGAAATTGGGGATCTCTACTGGGGAGGTGACACCGACGAAATCAATTCCTGATCTGCGCAAAAACCAACGACACTCGTCACATTCTCTCTGTTGATTAAGGAGATGATCAGAAGCGAAAACGCATTTTAATAATAAATTATTCGTCTATAATAGTTACGAGTCTCGAAGAGCTGCTTAAGAAATTTGTTCAGATATATAAAACCACTCGAGGTTAATGATACTAACAAATAGATCTTAGAAAATAAAGCTATAAAGTCCTATGTTATATTTATCTAGAACTAATATTTATAGCAGAAAGTGCAAGCTTTTTAAGTATGGCGCGCGAGTACTCGAGAAGTGACCAACGCACTACGCATGCGCGGCGCCATATTGCCTCACGTGACGTTTAAATAGAAGAACTGCGCCATCACATTTGTTGGGGCCCAAAACCTAATATTAAAACAAAATTCGAAACATCTAAAAACCAAGTGGTTCTATATACCAAAAATGAAATGATTTCTTGACCAGCTCTTCTAAAATTCGAGGTTAAAATAGCGCGTTTCCACTTGTGTTCGACCATCCCCTCGCATACACCGCCAAATATCCCGGCACAGTCACAAGGAAAGAACAGAGATCGGAAAGGAGGCGTTTGAAACTTCAAAACGTGTCTTTATTGGTGCGTTATCGTTATATTTCGTCTGACAACAGAACTCTGTGACATCGAAATAGAGCTACGTCGTTTACGCGAGCTGCTTCGCGGATGGTTCCTCGCACGGTCACCGCGCGAAGCTTCCTCGACGAGTTCCTATTCTAACGAGTCATCCTCGTCTTCCGACATCCTCTTGCCAAGTCCGAAGTGGTATCTCTGGCCAAACACGTCGTTCGGTCTCTTTCCGTTCCCCGCGGGTTCGCCTGCCGCCAGACGTACCGCCCTCTTGCCCAATCCAAAGCTGTACGGCTGTATGCCCCGTTTCTCCTCGAGGAAGTCGTCGGTGTTGTCCTGCGAGCGGTAAGCCAGCCCGTTGAGGGGCACGTAGTCCAGGTTCATTCTCATCGGGTAGTCCGCGTTGTCGGTCCGTTTGCCCAAACCGAAACTGTACTGCTTCGTCCGTTTGCCCAGCCCGAAGGAGTACTGGCGTCCTCTCTGAAAAATCAGAGTCGATGCGTTGATGACCAGTTTTAAATGATAATTTTGACACTTGGTTCGAGTAAAGACATCATTCCCCACAATGATTGGTCAGGTACAGTGCGAAATTTAATAATTTTTAATAGCAGTGTCCACAGGCAATAACGATTCTTATTAAGAACGAATTTTATCCAGTAACGAAAATTACAATGTTTATAGTTTGAGATCATATCGGTACGATAATACTATTAACGTATTGGGGTGGTTCCCCCGATGAGAATGAACCCAAACACGACCTAGTTTGGATTACTTTTAGCGTAAGTAAAACGCGATTCAAATTATTTTCGAGTTTCGCAAATATGCACGCGTGATTAAATATGGTCCAAACTAGATCGTGTTTGGACTCGTTTTCACCGGGAGAATATCGCGAGCGTATCGGTGATACTTTCAGAGCGATATAATGAAATATATTAAAGTATTTATGTATTAGTCGATACTTTGAACTTACTTTGTCGTCACTGTTGTCGACCCAGCGCTTGCCAATGCCGAAATTGTAAACAGGTAGCCTTTTGTACTCGGATACGTAGGTGTATGCCCTCTTCTCGGGGAAGGGCTCGTCGAGACCCGCGGAATTGAGCATCGTATTATAGCGTTGAAGATTCAAGGAAGAAGCTGGTGTTTCTTCCATAGCCGCGGCTGATTTTCCGACGATTCCTACCATGCAAACGAAAGCGACGCTGGACGTCACGAAGCACGTTTTTGACCTCATCTTCGTGCTCTGCTGAATCCTGAACAGACAAAAATATTTTCTTCCTACTTACGAGTGTCGCTGAAAGTTTGCTCGTTAATAATAATTGATGCTACGTCTCGCTCGACAAGGATCATATTTTACTCGGACGCAAATAACATCGGAGGCAATGCGGTTTCTCAATTTCAGATCGACCGGCAAAGTTTGCGATAAAATAACGAACACGGGCCGACGTTGCCACGAAAATTGCTTTCCCGTGATTAGAATCCGTGGGGAATTTGCTTTGTTCCGCGCCTTCCTAGTTCGCAGTGAATCGCCAAGTATCGATTCGTTTCATTTAAAAGGGGGATGATCTCTTTGGTAATTAGAGTTGCTGAACTCGTGGAATCATATGCTTCGATGAACGATGCAGGATAAATAAAAAACGAAAAGGAACTACGATCGGTTCGACCCTGTCCAAGGTCCTCATCGATCCTTTGCTTAAATAGAGTGTTAGACTACTCAGTAAGTATGTTTAACAATTATTAGATACGCCTTTGTTACACTGTCAATTGACGGAATTTAATCCCGACACAAGCCCCGAATACCTGTGAATTCATCAGGAAATCGGGAACACAGGGTGTATCGAGCGCGGTCGAATTTGGACGACGTACCGGGCTAATCTGCACGGCATTAGGTATTCGCTATTCGATTTAGAAATAGAGATTAAATGTTGATCCGTCCAGGAATCGTCGTAACCACGATTGCCAACCCCGCTGGTTGATCAATATTCGATGGAAATCACGGTTTTCCTTCGTCGTGTTCGGTTACAGGCTCGATTTAGTGGGATCCGAGCTGCGGATCCAACGTGGGTAGACGTCCAAATTCGATCAGCTGGGCTTAATGACAATCGCTAGGAAATTAATGAAATTATTGGGCAGCGCGTGGACCAGTGTGTGAAATCACGACCTGAGGTATTGGTCGATTAAAGGACTAAATTACAACCGACGTGGAAAGGCCCACTGTTGTAGAGCGTCGATGGGTTTGCCGTGGCCTAACGTTTGACAAGCGTGACTCAAAATGCTGCACCGTGTTGGTCGAAAACGGTCGTTTCCCGATTTATGAGTTCATAAGCCTTGATTAAGTCGAAGACTATTATTTAATAATTTCATCAATGTTCGTACAGTCGCGTTGAAATTAATTCCTCCGGGCTGTTAGCTGCATCGATTAGCCCGCCAGATCCTCGTTACGAAACCGGTGAAATTTGCACGGGCAACATTTTCCCGGGCGTTTCATTTCTCGCAAGATGTCTTGGAAATTAAATCGGCCTCGATTTAAAGTGGCAATTCCGTCGAGGAGAAGGCCAATACGGGAAAGCTCAAATACGTGTTCTCGGGTCTCGTTTCGTGTAATTTGCACGGTCTATAATCGCCACACCGTGGTTCCAGGAGATCCGAATTCTTCTAAAGCACCAAAATAAATTCTACCCCTTGAATCGATACATTATTATTAAATTACAGAAATTGTCACTTGAAAGCGGGCAGCAATGTGTAGTACGGTATTCCCCGCTTTCAAGTGACAATATTTGTATCGGATTCAAGCAACCGAATTATCTACTCCATTGTCTGTGGACGATCCTTAATTTCTTTGGGTCGTGATAAAAGTAGCTTTGATGTGAACTGGGTAGTACTGATTTTGTCACTTGAAAGCGGGCAGTAATGTGTATTACAGTATTCCCCGCTTTCAAGTGACAGTATTTGTATCGGAATCAAGCAACCGAATTATCTACTCCATTGTTTGTGGACGATCCTTAATTTCGTTGGGTCGTGATAAAAGTAGCTTTGATGTGAACTGGGTAGTACTGATTTTGTCACTTGAAAGCGGGCAGTAATGTGTATTACAGTATTCCCCGCTTTCAAGTGACAGTATTTGTATCGGAATCAAGCAACCGAATTATCTACTCCATTGTTTGTGGACGATCCTTAATTTCTTTGAGTCGTGATAAAAGTAGCCCGCTTTGATGCGAACTGGGTGGTACTGATTTTGTCACTTGAAAGCGGGCAGCGGTGTAAAAAGCGTTGGAGTTGTCGTTATTGAATACAAATAGATACGAGGTAGTATGTAAAAAAATTGGAATCTCAAAGAGGAATCAATAAATCTTTTTTTTCAATTTATTATAAAATTTCTTTTCCCCCAAAGCTACATTTTGCTACACTTGATCCTCCTACGTTTGTCACTCGCACCAACGATCCGGTTTTATAATTCCATCTTCAAAGAACTGGGAATTACTGTCCCCATCCATTTTCGTTATCAGGTGAAGTGGAACAAAATGTAGGACGTCGGATTAAAGAAACACCTTTCCGTCCCTTTGAGGATGGAACTGAAAAGCTAGTTTATAAATAGAACGAGCATGCAAATTTCATTTGTTTCTTTATTTGGCGAACGACTCGATTAATATATAACCAGAAGTAATGTTTACGCCTTAAGTCCGTGGCAAGAATTGCCACTTGAAAGCGGGGATTACTGCAATACTCAATAATACCCGCTTTCAAGTGACAATGTCTGCCGTTTAGCAACATTCGACGAATGAAATCGTGCTTCATCGTTTCCTCGTTCCTCCATTTATTTACTCAATTAAATTTCACTGCAAATTGATATCAACCGCAAAATAAAAATGCGTGACCGGATGTGTTTAAAAAATAAATTACAGCGCGGCGACGCCTAGCGTCCTAACACCTGTTGCGACGATCGATTTCGTTTCCCATAGTGTTTCTGTCTTTGTATCGCGGTTTTTAAGTGTTGTGCTCTAATATCTGTTCATTATTCGTTGGTTTTATTGGTTGTTTATTATACTAATACAATTTTGCCGGTCTCTGAGCCTTTATGTACCGTACGAGATGACTAATGACAGTGTAACACCTCGCGAGTCTCTTATTACCTTCGAAATTATATATTCAAATTTTAATATTTTTTACACTCTCGAATTCTGCAAATATTTTCGCGAAATTAATTTTAGCGCTCCACAACAACAACAATGATGGAATAGAAAGCACAATGGAACACTGATCGCCGTTTAGCATTATTAATAACGGATTTTGCAGAATTAGAACGCGCTAGGAAAGCCTGTTTCCGTGAATTTCTTTCTTCCGGTCGCGTTTCCCAATGCAATTTCCGCGTCCGTGCGCGATAAATGGCCGTAGTTCTGACGGAGGCTTTCACGATACGTGGCGTAACGAAGTGGATTATTACCAGCCGTGTGCAGACGTGTATGCAAACAACGGGCAACGAGGGGCACGGTGTCGGATCGATACGGAAGAATTACAAAATATCGAGACTCGCGACCAGACTAATTCGATTATCGTTTGAAAATACTCAGTCGGAGGCAGAAATCTGGCCATCGATTCACGACGATATTTATTCGTTACGCGTTCACGGCCCGTAAGAATGGCTAAGATAATGGCCAGAAAGGCTACACGCGAATGGAATTCATCGAAGGAAACCAGGGAACCTTAATAGAAGGTACTGTCGATCGTAGAAGTTTGCATAGATCCGATACATTATCAAAAAACTCGAACAATTTAAAAAAAATGTTTTCTAAAAATTTAGAACAGCTTCTTCAACTTATATATTGTTTTCAGGGTCCCAGACTGCCGAATGCAACGATGGATTCGAGATCGAAGCGGACCGATGCGTCTGGCCGTCGACGATCGTTTAATAAGTATCCTTTTCTTTAAATATTGAAGAATAAGACTATCCACAAAATGTCGAGATTACAAACACTTGTCAGAATGTCTAAATAATATATATAAAAAATTTTTCAGCCTCTCGCGAAGCCATCGAAATTCAACGCCCTGGAAAACTATCAAGAGAGAAACGGTAATAAAGTTTCTAATTTTGCTCGAGCGAGAAATCAAGTTTATTCGATCGGAGGTGCACGATAAAATGCGTGACTTTTTTTACGCATGCCACGTCCAATTTAACGTTGTCTCATGGTTTCGTTTTGTTCGAGCGTATAAACGACGTATGTACAGGACGATAGACGTCGTCTGAATGGCTGGCTCATATTCTGCGAAACGTTTCACGGCATAATAATATATATATGGTACTATCGATGAAAATTCGCGATAAGTACGACAATGAACGACCAAAGATCCTTGACAGATCTATTGTTTGCGTTTGAAAATAATTTATCGAACGACAAAGAGCTGACGAACTTTGGAATTAAATAACTTTTGTGTGTTGCCGGATATTTCGCATGAATTCAGCTAGCCTCCCCGTGCAACAGTGTACATATCTAATTTTAGACGTAGAAATTCAAAAACAAAATGTCTGTGAATAGCGAGCGTGTTAAAGAAAATACAGAAAATATTTGAACAAAATGTATTCAGTAAGATGCGATGAGATATTTCGATTCCATGTTCGATTAATATCTTCAACGTTACGTAGAACCGAATAAATCTTTTACAGAATACCGAATCGAGTAAGCTGCAATAAAATTCGTATAATACGGAATCGTTACGTTCAACCGAGCACTGAAGCGAAACACTACAAGTTGGCTTTAATCAATTTTCAGTCTCTGCGTCAACAATTAATCGAATATATCTTATCCGCATGCAAATCACTCGCACCGTATAAAAGTAATCAGATTATCCCGGTTACCTTGCCTCCGACGATCCCACTTAACATTGTGACAGTTACCTGGAAGGAATCGTCGTTCGCGAGCTTAAAACTCGGGATTAAGCGGAGCTCTCGAAAGTCCTTCGCGAGTTCTTGGAGGATTAGATACTCCTCTCGAGGGCGGTGAGGCTATTTTTCGCAGCAGATTACCGCGTCGTGTCGCGAAAAATTTGAAACCGTCAAAAACTAAAGGAATAAGCCTAAAGGATATTCACCTCGATGATATCGGATAATTGTCATTCACTGTTTAAACCTCGTTCCCTCCCTCCCGTCGCTTGATTGATCGATGGAATGGTATCGCGCGGTCTTGAAACACGCGTTTACATAATCCGACCTATAGTCGACTGATTGTCCGCGGCAGTAGGTTTCAAGGACTTGTATGGC